GTTGGAAAGTGTGGTAAATATATTTCTTGGTAGTTCCCTCTTTTGTTTATTACATTTCCTTCTCTTTTTAAATCTTTTTTTTTTTAATTTCATGTAATATGATGTAAGTAATATATGCATGTACATAAATAGAAAAATTATATGGTATAAGTACTAAAAATAAATTAATGATTAAGTAGTCTTAAAACATATGATAAGAACTATTTATGAAAATTAATAATTAAATAGTCCTATAACATATGATAAGTTGTTTTAAGAAAACATAAATAGAAAAATTATATGGTATAAGTACTAAAAATAAATTAATGATTAAGTAGTCTTAAAACATATGATAAGAACATTTAAGAAAATTAATAATTAAATAGTCCTATAACATATGATAAGTTGTTTTAAGAAAACTAAGAATTAAGGAGTCCTAAAATATATGGTTAGAATTTTGAGAGAATTAAGGGCTTGTTTGATGTGAGGGATAAATAGAAATAGTCCTAGGATAAAAAAAAATAGTCCTGGGACATAATTTAGATATCTTGTTTAGTTGACATGTTTGAGATAACTTATCCAACCATTTATAACATAATGATGGAATAAGTTATCTCATGATAACTAACCCCAGAATAAATTATCATGGAATAAATAGTTCTCAACCAAATGACCCCTAAAAATTAAGGTGTTCCAAAATAGATGGTAAGAAGTACTCCCTCAATTCATTTTTACTTATCACTTATTTCTAAAAGAGATTTTCATTTGTACTTGTCACTTTTGAGATATTAAGAGAAGACTCTAATTTTTTTTCATGTTTGACCCTCAACATTAAATACTTATGTTTCAAATCATTTTATAGAGATAATTTGGTAAATACATATATCAATAATTATTTTCTAAATTGGTATGTCAAGTCAAAGTGCGACAAGTAAAATTGAATGGAGAATTAGGAGAATTAATAGTTAAGGAATTAACTAGAGTTAAAATATATGATAGAGAGAATAGAAAAATACTTTCTCCGTTCCTATTTACATGTCGTCTTCACTAAAATAGATATTTCTTAATATTTATTATTTTACAAATCAATGCATAAATGACTATTATTCCTATTTTACCCTTTTGAAAATTATTAGCCTAGAAATATACACTTGACCAACATGAAAAAACTAAGTAAACAATTCATGTCTATTGTTCAAGTTAATTAATTACTCAAAATAAATTAATTCATGTTCATTGATTGAAAACTTGAATTTAAGAAAAATATTAAATAAGGGTTCAATGGTAAATATAAGACATATACTGATGAGAGGAACCTGAATGACCATAATTCCTCCACGACCTGCCAATATAGAAAATGAAGCATGTGAAGTATGTATCGAACTAGAAGAACTATGCCTAATATAATCAACCTCAGCAGCTGATATCGCAACATGAGTGGGTACTAAGAGTGACAACCACTCCCTAATTAATCTCGACTCTCAAGAGTAGCACTACCCAAATGACCTAAAAGATGGGCCCTCTTGGCCTCATGTTGCTCAAATCCCTCACGTCAAACCATGTCCAGCTCCTTGGAAGTATCAACCACTTTCTTAAATGAAACGCCAGAAGTGGTAACCGTAGAAACTCTAATATGAATCAAAATAATTGGACCTTTAATAAACCTTTTCACTCTCTCAACCTCTCAGTGGGAAGTATCATCAATGAGTTCCTAGCAGAAGCATGAAATTTAACCTCCTACTTTGTGATTGACATATCGTCTTGCCGCGAATCCTCGAACTCGATCATCCCGTAGAATAAACTTATCTAGAAATATGATAGTGGAGGTGATCTATTTGAAATACTACTAATATAATCCCTCCGTCACTGCTTCATAAGGCCAGTCATCTGGAACATCGTATAGTCAATTTCATGAGACTCATCTAATCTAAGGTTATGCAATCTTCCATTACAGGTTACTACAAATTCATATGTATCCTCATTCAAGTCACCCGTATAGGTGGAAAGATTCATCATCCTTAATCTTCCGAACATCTTTTGCTCATAAATGGTCATGGAAGGAATGTTAGCAAAATGTTATGCAATACCACATTATTAAATAGAGGACTATAATAGCAACTGACTGAGTTCTCGGAGTTTGAAAACATGGAGAAACTATTTGATCTGGAGTCTAACCTCAAAAACCAGTGTGTGAGCCACTAGAGGTGACAAAAAATATTATTGCCTAAGTCATTCTTCCGAGGAGTCCTAGCATATGAACCAAGGTATCTTGAAGTACTGAGGTGGTAATAAAGTTGGGTGGAGCCTGTGTTGGTCTATATCCCTCAACATGATCTTTCATATCCAAATTTTTGAAGAGATATTTGCTACAATATTTGTCATTTTGAATTCTATAGGTTTCTTTTTTGTTGAAGACTTTTGAATTATTTAAGGGAAATAAATACAGATTTGTTTCTTTTCTTCAAATTAAATAATCTTAAAAATTCGTGAGCTAACGAATCTAATCCACTCTAGAATAAGAGTTTGTCTATCACCATTTACACATTGGTGGTTTTGCTACACTACTCATTGTGCTTTTGTCCTTACCAGTAGCTTTGTAGCTCTTTCCAACTATTTTCACAATTATTTCGTACACCTTGGTGATAGATCTCTTTATTTGTTTATCTCATTGATATTTTCAGTTATATTCTTTTTTTCTCCCCCCTATTTATGCCCCTGGATTTTCTCCTATTGTTCTTGAAAATTTTCCCTGTTGGTGAATTTTCCTTGATTGTTATATGATGAACGTAACCTTCCCCCTTCATATCACTTGTATTTGTATTTAATTGGTTTGGTGGCTTTTCTTCTTCTTTCTGTCCTACCTTTGTATTCGTCAATTTAATGCCCATCGCCACCCCATTTTTAACTATCTTTTCCAATGGCTTGTATTTTATCACTGAACTTTTTCATCTCATTGTCTTCTTCATTACTGATTTCTCTTAATTCTGGTACTCTTCCCCTTTGTTCTTTTTTGTTGGTAATTTCTCACATCTCCTTGTTTCTTAATAAATTATTCATTGATATATCCTTTTCCTTGCTTGATTTCAAAAATTCTCTCCCACCAAGTCTTTGATTGCAACCACAACTTTATCCTTTGTGCTTTTCTCAGCCTTGGCGTTTCTATGGTCATTATATATTTTCTTGTTGTTGACTTGTTTCTTCTGTCTCCTCTTCCTCATTAAGTACATCAAACTTGTTCCTAGTCATTAACTAATCCTCTTCACTCACTTTCTTATTTGTATTCCATCTTTGTATCCGTCCTCCCCTGTAATTATATTATCCTCTCCTAGTCCCAATTTTAATTCTAGGTTCCTGGAAGTTGTTGTTCGTCAACTTCCCGTTGTCAGCATTCTCGTCCTTCTTTTTTGACACTATATTGATCTCTTTGTTGTTATTTTTACTCTTATCTTTCTCGTTTTCCACACCCCCTCCATCCTTTGGATATAATTTCGGATGTGATACAAAACACTCCTTTTCATTATGCCTTTATATTGTTTACAGTTTCTGCAATACTTAGAGAGATAACTATATTTGATGGTAATCCATTTAGCCACATCAACTCTCCTCGGAAACTCACCCAACAAGTCTACTTCCACCTTTACTCTCGAAATTTGATCTTGTTTTGTTGTTATTAGTAGCCATATCAACTTCTCATGATTTCCAACAACAACAACCAGTGAGAAGTGATAAGATTTTTTCTAATCGATTGGAATTTTAATAAGGTAGAGCTAATAGTGATGTTACTGCAATATCTATTGATGTTTCTTCCGCTGTGTCAAATTACGGATCCCATTTAAAGGTATGCATTAGGTAATAGTCGTTCCTATGAGCTATGTAAAAGATTCCTTACGCAACACATATTGATTATATAATTTCCCTATGTTCACACCCCCTTCAATTCACATTGTTTTTTATAAATCTTTCAAAATTCGTGAATATCAAGTCATACGTATGCCAACCACGAAAAATCCAAATCCCCATTCTGGTCGTAGAATTCAAACATCTTGGGTTTTGACAACTAGGTTTTTAGAGAGCGTCTTAAAAACTATGTTTTAAGTTTAAAGATCTTCTAAATTCAAAAATATAAAATTATTGGGAATACATATTTAACAAGGAAGGAGTCATATAATAAAAAAAAAATAGAGAATTTCTGGTAGCTAATATCGCATAAATCATATTTCTGACCAAATAAGTATTATATGCAAGTATTCAAAATCTATATGAAAAATACTATAAATTCTAATTTTTAGAATATTAATATGATGAAAAAATATATCGTAAAAAATCTTAGTCAAAATTGTTATCATTTGAATCTAAAAAGAAAACTATGAGAATTAAAAGTGGACCGAAATAGTAAATATAGTGTTTGAGTTTTGAAAAATGATATGAGGAAATATGATTTAATTCTTAGATCAAAACATGGAAAATAATAATTGTCTTTTCTTGATTTATAAATATTAAAAGATGATGATGTTTTACAGTATACATTAAAATATTATAATATGTTTTGCAAAACACATTTGGGAACTTTGCAAAACATATTATAATATTTTTTCATATCTTTTCGGTGGTCCATACATCCATCTACGTATCATAGTATCTGCTACATTTATCTTTGAACTTGAACGTTCTTGACTGGCTAACACTCTAACCACTACATTAAGGTCGGTTTAACCACCACACTATAGAGACCATTTAGTTTATAAGATTATCATAATTGATGTCATTCTAAATCTGGAACAAGTATGATGCACCCAAAACACGTAGACAATCATCTTTTTTCATGCGACATAGTACATACTTCTACTAATTGAATTGTTCTGACCTGTTCGTGTGTCACCCATGTTCTTCAACTATTCTACTCTTTATGAGAAGGTGAGTTCTTATTAAACTTTTGATAAAAAAAAAATGATTACTATTGTCTTCGTTGAACTTTTCAGCAACTTTCAAAAGAATTCTAAAAAAATAACAAAACAACGTACTGTGATAAACTAATAACCATGCTATTTCACTTGAGATTTATATGGATGGTTATTTCTGGCCAAGCGTTAGTTTTCGACATACTTAAAAAAGGTAATAGTGCATTAAAAATAAAAACTAAGCATTGTACCATATGTCCTGGAACAGTTCAGAATGACCATCCCAAGTTTGGAAAATCACACCAACCCATTAAGCAAAGCATAATCTAACTCGATAATCTTGATCGAGAAGCATCAACAACAACTTCTCAATCATGGACTGCATGCTCAAATTTGAAGCAGGTGTCATGAAAGAAAATCAAAAATTAAATTGAAACTAGACAAAAAGGAAAAATGATCACCTTTCAATCTCTTCTTTTCAAGATTTTAGAAGGTGATACCTGACCAGTTTTAGGAACAAGAAAAGAGATTCTATTTGTCAATAAAGGAGGAAAGTAACAACACCAATGTAAACAACTTTTCTTCCGATTAGAAAAGAATAATACTAAAACATCAAGTGAATAAGGCACTAGGCTGAATCACAGATCTAGCGGTGATGTTAGTCGAAATATATAACCTTAGAATCGGAACAAATAATTAAAAACGAAAAATAAGTACAAAAAATAACAAAATTTTGTATCTTGAGAAAATTCTGGCAGGTAATCTTTTATAGGAGCCGTATCATTCCACTTTTATCGGATGTCCCCAAAGGGAGAGAGTAATGGAAAATAATTAGTTAAGATGTCTTAAGTAAGCTTTTGTCAAGGAGAGACTAGTTCAGCAACACAGTAATATGTTAAAGCATTGATTAATTTATCGTGTCAGTAAATAACTATAAGAATCTTAGCGAACTTAGAAGCAATTAACAGTGTAAACGGATTAGTTTTGTCCGATTGTAAGTTTGTCAACTATCTGCTACAAATGTCTTAGTGAACTATCTTCCTATCAATGACATCCAGATTTACCATTTCATTTTATCCTGTGAAATTTTACTCAATACAAATAGATAATTATTCAGAATGGAGTTTTGATGTACTAAACGATCTAAAGAAGGCATGAACCAATAAAAACATACAATGGGAGAAGTGCTACCAGTGTACCATGTGGGAAAGAACTCCAACATCCTTGTTATGTAAATGGAATGTCCTTTAGGATACATGGCTTAATTAAAACTATGTTTAGCACAACGTAATATGTAGATAAAATCTAGGGAAAAGGGTCTGATATACCCCTCAACTTTGTCATTTAGTGCTAATATACCCCTTGTTATGAAACTGACTCATATATACCCCTACTTGTAACAAATGGCTCGCATATACCCTTTTCCTCTAACGGAAATGAAAAAAAAATAATTTTAATCTAAATTTTTATTATTTTTTTCTAAAAAATATAATCCCATATTAGTAAATTTAATTCTCGTCAAACATATTTTTTTTGTTTCGATGACTAATTTATAATTATTATTTTGATAATCAAATTTATTTATGTTTCACTAATATTCTTGTAAAACTTGATTAAATTTTTTCTTCGAATACGAAATAAAATTACAATATACACAAAAAAATAGTTTAATTTTTTATTCTTTAAACTAAGGAATGAAAGAAAAAACAAAATAAGAATAAGAAATTCAAATAATTATTATAAAAGAAGTCAAAAAATAATTTATGTATGAAAAAAATTAAAATATACCTTGAACTTTGATAGAAGAATCATATATACCCCTAAATAATTTTTTTAAAAAAAATTAGAAGTAATAAATATAATTTAAAACTATTTTTTAAAAATCCATTAAATGAAGGATATATTTGAGCTATTTTGTAACGACAGGGGTATATGTGAGCCGTTTGTATAACGGTAAGGGCATGTATGAACCACTTTTATAACGAGGGGTATATCAGCTCCAAATGACAAAGTTGAGGGTATATCAGACTCTTTTCCCTAAAATCTAAGATACATCAATTATACCTCTTTAAACAATTTTACCCATGAAGAGAGAGTCCTCTTTGAGTCTTTGCAACACCATCACAGGATAAGAGACTCATACTGTAATAATCTAGTTTAAGAAAATTACACCAATGAGCAAATAATGTTGGTGCTTCTTAAACAAAGTTGAAAGAAGATTAATTATTTTGATTGTTAATTAGGTTCTCTGTCCAAGAAAAGGTCACTTTAATCTGCAGGTAACAATACAATACTTTTGTTAACAATATTGACACCATTAGAAAGTGTCGGAGTTAGCACAATAAAAAAGAGTACCACTAATTCAACATTCTCACTATATAGAGGAGAAGACATCAGACACTTAAAAGTAAATTACAACAAGAGAAAAAAAGAAATTCATACCTAAAAAAGAAGATTAATTTATAAAAAATGATGATTTATAATCTGGAGGCGACTGTCCATGAATTGTGTCGTTATCTTCGCCTTGCTCTCCGGCGTTTGCTGATGTTGCTCGCTGGAGCAGGCTGCTGCCGGTGATTGCCATCGCTGCTCGCTGCGTGTAGCTAATGTTGCTGTTTTTTGCCGGAGAGGGAGGCAACTGGTGGCTCTATCTCTGTGCTGCTGTGGTTGCCGGACGGAGACCACCTGATCACCTGGTTGCTCGCTAATTGGAGCTGCTGCCAGCGATGCAGGTTCGCTTGAGGCCTTCATGCGTCTTCCGAAGCTCGCCATTGTTTTTCACTACTCGTTCTTCAGGCTTCAAAGGCCGGAAAGAAGGATGGAGAAGAAGGCGAAAAAGGCATGGGCGGCGGACTTGGAGAGAAGGCGAGGAGAATGAAGAAAATTAGGATTCGGGTTCTTTTGTATAAGATGGGAAAGCAGGGGTCTTAAATCAGGACCATTGATAAATTTGGATGAGCGGATGAGATTAACTTTTGGAGTTTGATGAAACATGATCGACGGATGAGATTAAATGAGAGTAGATGAAATCTTAAATTGGAGTTTGCAACGAAATTAGTGATGGATTCTAAACGTCGCTTTCAAATAAATAAATAAATAAATAAATATAAATATATATATATATATATATATATATATATATATATATATATATATATATATATATATATATATTTATAAAAATTATATTGACGGATATTTTCGTCACTATATAACATAATTTTTATAAAAATATATTTAATAGTTTAGCAATATTTTTTTCGCCACTATTTTCGTCACCCAATGTTAATTAAATTTGTCACCACTACTTTGTTACTAAATTCGTAGAAAAATTAGGCGCCAAAATTTCGCACTAAAATTTAGTGACATATTAAATATTCTGTTGCAAATTTGTCGCTATATTATATATCAAAAAATTATTTGTTAATTTTACAACAAAATGGTTATTCCATCGCGGATCCGTCGTTGTATAATGTCGAAATATTATTTATCGCTAATATCTATCGCTAAACATTGTTTTTTAGTAGTGATATATTTCTCTATCTCAAGTTATTTATCGTATTTTTATCACACACAATTTTCTAAAAGTATATTAAAATTTTGAGAGATACCTTTATGTTTTATCCTCATTTATGAGTTAGAATTAATTTCGATTAAGTATTTACTCTATTCATCATGTATTTATAGTTTTCAAGAATTATTACTACAGAGAATAAAATGAAAATAAAATGTTTTGAACTTTTAAAAAGATAAATTATTTGAGGTTTAACTATTTTTATAAATCGGGCTAAATAATTTGAGAAGGAGGAGATACAATGTCCTTTTTTATCGTAAAAAAAGTATCACTCTAGCTCATATCATATCAGGTTCTATTAAGAAAAAAATCTCATACTTAATTAAATTGTTCTATTTATTAGATGTAATATACACTTTTAAAGCCGTGGAGAGAATACATTAATGAACATTAGTTTTATTCATGCAACGTGCAATATCAGTTGTTGATGTAATTCATTATATAATCTTTTATATCATTATTACCAAATGAATTAATTAGTACACCTACTTCCTGCCTCATTTATAGGATATATATAAGTATATAACAATGCAGCTACTTTTTTTTTTACATTATTAATGTAAATTTTAATCGGTTATTATAATTTAATTGATGTTTTAATTATGTCATAAATTTAGGAATAACCTAAATATTTACTTGTAAATATATTATAAATAGTTTGACTGATAAATATTTAATTCTCCCCGGCTTTGAACCTCAGAATGAAGCATACTCCATTCATCTAAATTTATGCCACTTTTTAGATTTCGAGATTCAAACAAGTTTATTCTTAATCATAAAATTTTCATATCTTTTAATTATGTTGTATTGTCTCAATCATTGTGAGTTATAATATTATTTTTTTAATGTAGTTTACGCGCACACGCGTACACGCACTACAAAAAAATACCTTAATCGTGAGGATTTTAAAGCGGAGGTTAATTATAAGCCCCACAAATTACTCTAACGACGGGGGTTTGATAACTCACGAAAAATAAAACTACATAGTAAAATTTAAAACCCCCAAAAATTTTTAATTAAATAGCGGAAGTTTAAATACATGATATCTCATAATTTTTATTTCAAAATATAAATATATATTTTTAATTCATGAAATACAAAACGCTCACAATAGATAACTTAATAAATAACTATTGATTACTTTAACTACAAATACAAAAAAAAACACAGCTTTTGGAAACTTCCAAAATTACTGTCTCACTGTCACGCTTTTCTCACCGCCACACTTCTCCACCGTCTACAACGCACTTCTCCGCCGTCTACGTCGGCACTTCTCTACAGCGGCACGTCTCCTCACAACTCTGTAAACTTCAGCTACTCACCAAATTCAAATTTTTATAGGTGTTCTATGGTATTGTTTTCTACTTCTCACCTCTTTGAATAATGAATCTACTTCACATTTTTAGATTTTCTCATATGAATCTTCATAAATTGTACAAATTATTGGTTGTATTTACTAGGTAAGTTTATTTTTGGCTGTTTGTATTGATGCATGGAGGTAGAATTAGGTTAATTTTGTTATATTCTTCATGGATGAAAATTCAAAATATCAAATTTGGTCATGTATTTTGTGGTAGAATTAGGTTTGTTTTGTTATAATTTTGGTGATTCTACAGATTCCTCGAGATATTCTGTGTCTACATATTTTTTGGGGCCACTTTGTCTGAAATGGTGTCGCTAACAAGTGCCTTGTTTCTTCTTAAAATTTGGAGTTGTCGTCTCCGTGTATCCTTTTGTTTATGCTGGAGTAAGGTCTATATAGTTTCCCCCTTTGTTTGTTAATTAATTCTTCTTTAGCTGTTAAATGTGCCCTCAATCTTCACTTATCTCTCTATACTTGTATTAATACATTATATTCTTATTTGGAACTGAAATTAAAAGGAGAGCTTCTAGATCTTCGGGGATAAAAGAATTGAGGTACTCTTTCATTTACTTAGATCACTATAATTTCTCAGTGGTTAGGCCCCTATGGAAATAGTTGAAGCCTCAAGTTCACCTGATGCTTATGCTTAAAATCAACTATAATAGTACTAAATAGAGATAAATAGACATTTACTCTCAGTGGATGTTCTTAGTGTTGGTGATGATATTTTCTTCAGAATAATACTAGGATTGCACAAGTATAGTTGCATACATTTCAAACAGAGAATGTTTGGCAAGTGCTAGAATGAACTTCTAATGTTAATTGGATTTATGCTTTTATAAAACATCAAATTGATGAATAACATCAATTTTTGACTGAAAATTTCGTTGATGATTCGATCCTAGGGGAAAGGCTTGGACATCTTTTGAACCTAGAAAAACAATTATGGTTGCCAAACTATGACAGTTCCGAGGAGAGAATCAGGAGGCTTGGATAGTTCAAGCTATACATTATTTCGATTTCTATAAAATTGAGAAAGAACAAAAGCTTAATGTGGTGTCGCTCTACCTTGATGGTGAAGCATTACAATGGTACCCGTGGTTATTTAGGAATAATCAATCAAGTGATTGGTTGGATTTTGTTGATAAGATGAAAATTCGATTTAAACAGAAATGATATGAGTCTGCGGCAGAGTGAAGAGCCAATCTCGAACAGGTAACCTACGTGACTGAGTACCAAAATCATTGTGAGGATATTTTGTCGAGCTTTGGTGAGTCCGATGTACTCTTCCTGGGCCACACATATGTTCATCCATGTTGGAGCAACATAACCAACTCTCTTATACCGTAATATCATGACCAATCATAATGCAAAAGCAATACAAATGTGTGTAAGGTGTGTGATTAGTTGTCCGATAGGTACAAAGATTCATATTCTCTCTCAGTCTCGCTATGTTTAGCAAGCTTATTGAACTTTCCATTCCAGATGGGTATGTCGAGTCAAGTACACGGTTTGCTATTATATTTGTATCTTTTACAATATCAGTAATGTAGCAAGTTTCTACAACAGGTAAAATAAATGTATATTTGCAACAATCAATGGAGTATTAGTCAACACTTATTTATACAATGAATGTTGTTTTTACTACTGGGAGATTTTTATTTTTTCTTACTAGTTGGACTTCCTGTGAAGCTACTAACTTAGTACATTGATACTCAAAGAGGTAATACCTTGTTAATGGTGAATAAATTCACCTGCAATCATTAGAAAAATAGAAATATGACTCATTTCATATCTTGATCCAAATTATCTTGACCAAAGATCATAGTTTCGTCTACTTTTATTGTAACTAGATATGCCGAAGCTGAAGCATTACGATAACTTACGCAACTCATTTGCTCATCATCTAGTTCACAAGGTTTGGCACATTCTTCATCAAGAAATGAATCATTTGACATCATCAACTCCGCGATCTGCATTGACATCGGTATATTGACAGTTGATTTCGCTGCTAAAGAATGAAAATGATATTGTGTACTAACTCAAGGCCACTTTATAGAAAATTTGGTACATGTAAGTTAAAAATTTTGCTCCTGTAGTTTTCTTTACTTTGTGTATAATATTTATTTTTTGTGTAGTCGCCAGTTGATTTTCGTATGTGTTTTATAGGCAGATGCGTGGCTACCTGCTTAAACTTTTTTTGTTTAGGTAAAATTTGACTAATACAAGCATTGCCAAGGTGATTTTACTCTTTTTTAGCATTGCTATTTGATAGGATTAACATGTTCAGCCAGAATCACTGCTTTAGCCATTCGTGTTGGTTTCTTTGTCCCTCGTCGGGCGGCAAAAGATTGTTTTTCCCCTTGATAAAGCCTTCTTTAAGATAGTAAAGATAATGTAGTCTTCAGAGGCTAGAGGGAATGAATAGAAGTTAAGATGTTGCGTATCTTTAACTTTCTATTCCATGCTTCATATATGTATTTGATTCCCAAAGATTTGTACAATCTTTGTGAGCAATATCGGAAGAAGCTTATTATTTTCTAGTTGAAGGTGTGCCCCTACTGCTCCTCAAATTTGTTCAGCTTGTTTATTTGTGGGTGCAGTGCAGTATTTTTCATATGCATGTTTATTTGTGGGTGCACTTTATTTCTAAGACCTTGTAAGTTTCTCGAAATTATTAACAGCAACCAGTCACCTGGCGCCTATTCAGCAGGACTTGGATTGGCATTCTTTAGTATCAACGACTTTTACAAGTAAAGAAAATGAATAGCATACCAGCTCATAGTTGCATAAGAAGGTCCGTGCTTTCAAAACTGTCGCCTATTTCTTCTTCTTCTTAAATCCTATTGTGACAGAATTATTCAACCTTGTGGAAGAATTAACATCCATAGTCACTTTTGAATCTTCACTTGCAACAGTAGTTGGCTGTGTTTTTCTTGGAACAAACTCAAGTGCATGTGCATTCATGATTTTTGGATAATCATAACTGCTTATTTCAGCAGCAGGATTTTGGTTCTTTACGTATCCGTTTTTCATGAAAGCATGACTTGTCCTGTGGTACTTACAATCCTTTTTCGTGATCATGTTGTTCGTAACTATTGATATGTTACTCTCAACGGTATTTATTTAGTGCAATGAGATACATCTACTTTGCAGTGTTGTTCATTGGAGTTACAAATAACACTGTGGTCCAACCAGTTGTTTCCGTTGAAAGATTGAGTATATTGTGCTGTCGTTTTGAAATGATTTGAAATCCTTGCTCGATTAAATGATTTTAACTATTTTTCTGTTGTTTTAATATGCAAATTCTCTGTCCAAGTGTTAACATAGAAAGGGAAGTCATTTCTACTAGTATCTTTGTCTATAAATTGAAATTGTGAGTTCATATAGCCACTCAAACTTATTTGGGATTGTTGTCGTTTAATGCTTACAACCTTAGTATGCTAATATTACGGATGTTTTGTTTTGTGACTTGCAGTGGGCTAACAACCTTTATCAAGGAGTTATGCTTCCATTACCCGTTCCTCTAAAGGTAATTCGTCCTCATTTCTAATCGAGATATACTGTTCCCCTTCAAGCATTTCAGTCAGTAGGAAATTCATATCATTGAACATGGGATTATATACAACCTCGTAGACATCATAACCAATCAACTTATAGTAAAAATATAAAGAAGTAAACATTAATTGTCTCTTATAAGAAAAATAGCACTGTAGTTCCTAGTCTGTCTTTTTTCTACTGGCAAGAAACCTGAGATTCTTTCTTCATGTTTTAACTATTTCTAATATTTGTTCAAATCAGTTTGATAGTGTCTTGTTTAGTAGTATAGTATGTCGTCTTTTTAAAATGGTTTAGAATCATTGCTTGTGTAAATGGTTTAATCCTTTTCTATTGTTTAAGTTTGTTGTTGTGTAGTATATGATAAACTTTGGGTTTTACTACATTCAGCCATGATTTTGAGTTTGGATAAAGTCACTTATTATGTATTCTCCTTTGCAGCCAGCTGATGTTGGTGACAATAATTGTAGTGAAACTAGTTGAAGTTCCATAAACCGATCCTATCTTGAGTTTGGGTGATATTTATTTGAAGTTTAAGCAAGTTTTGTAGTGATTTGAAGTTAAAGCAAATTTTTATAGTGATATGAAGTTTCTTGTAATCGTAATGGTTGAAACAAATGATATGTTTTTATTCACTTCATGATATACTTTTGTGTTGAATATTGTAATATTTCTTAATACTAATATGTCCTTTGATAATAATGCACATGTTAGTTAATTAATTTATTATTAGCATCTAAAATTGAATATTCCTAGAAAATGCTACAAAAAGTTATATTTCATAAATCACAGGGGTCTAAGCTCCTATTAATTTTAATGTAAAAATCATTAATTGCGGGATTTTTTGAATCCCCCGAGTTCACAAATCGTTGGGGTTTCGACTCCTAGTTTGAAATGCGGTTAGTGTTAAAAAACCCCGCTAGTTAACCCCTGCTAATGGTACCAGGAGTTGCCAAGAAACCCCCGCGACTTAATTGTGATACTCCTAATTGGAGAAGTTTATTAACCCCCGCACACGCTCACATGCACAAGCACACATGCACACGCGCCCACGTACACGTGAACGCACACACACACACACACACATAGACGCACACCCATACGCACACATGCGCGCGCACACACACACACATACACATATATTTCATTAAAAAAACTAAAAATTTTATGCGGAAATTCCCAATCAACTTAAACCGCTTGGCTTTCGAAAATGGAAAAGTGTCACATAAATTAGGAGACATGAAATATTTGTTAAGGATTGCAGAAGATCGCAGAAATGGGAGAGGGGGTAGGGGGTTGTTACGTTGGTGGAAACAAAGAATCGTGTATATTATTAGTCATTACTATTAGAATATGTGTTGAACTTCACCTGCTATTATTTTTTACTCCGAGTGTAGCTTCCATGTGGGAGAGTTTTAGTAAGTGCATATTGACTAAGTACCTGAACTAAAAAAGGTATGTCAGGCCTGGTCATGGTTGTCACACCCAGAACCTATATCCTGGGCGGGACTAGCACTTGAGAACACTTGTTGGCCCCAAAGGAACCCTTGGCTTGACTTACTTACTCAGCGGAAGACTTTTAGGCAAGAAAGAGAGAAGTTAAATACAAAATTACTCAACAATCTCAAAACTAAAATCATAATAATTTTGAAATGGACATTTAACTTAGCCAAAATGGCAACTCAAAATCTGAACATAAGCCAATAATATGATAATGACGAATGAACTAACATCAGACTGTCTATGAAGCCTTTAAAACAACTGAGATTGACGGTGATACGAGACCCACAACATCCTGATGAACTATATAACTTATACTGAATGCGATAAAAGGGATCCTCCGAAAAGAGACGAGGCTCACTATTACGCCGGTGTCACCTTGTCCTTTTTTCTTTCCTTTCTTTAATTTCTAAGCATCGAGAGGGCTTCAAAGTGGAGGCTCAAATAGGGTATACTCTAGTAACAACCTCTAATCCCGAACTACGTACCTCATAGATTTGTCTTAAATGACTTGGCGAGTGGATCCATTTAAGCAAATGATGATATGTATGGATTCTACCTTGACAAGTAGATCACCTTCTTTCAGTATGAGGGATACACCAGATTCCATTAAAGCTCTCATGGTCTTAATGCGGGTGGAGGCTAATATCTCACAAAATGACTATGTTTCTTCAAAGTTTTCTTATGTCCTTTATGCAATGTATGTGATCATATTTCATGATTCACATGTCATTTCTTCTTTAAAGTCTTTAAATGTGAAAAAATGATCAGGCCTACATTCTTTAAGCCATTCATGATATGACATCTATGTTTATGCATATTTCCCTATACGTAGTACATTCCATGTACTAATGCATATTAATGTCCAAATTGTTTTACTAATGTCGAGTCTGACGCTCCTACTAGTTAGTTTCATTGGCTTCGAAGAGTGGTGAATCCTCATGTTTCAATGACTAAGATACCTTTATTGTTATGTAACTTTCATTTTCAAACTTTGTATATGTGATGTATGAATTACATTTTGATCACTTCCCTTATGATTTATTAGATGTCTATTGAGACATATGTTATACTTTTCTTTTGTCAAACTCGTTATGTTATAAGACTATCTTTTTTGAATTCTTTAACTCTATCATCTCTTATGATGTGTAATAAATGGCTTGTGTAGGTCCTCTTCGGGTATTATATGTCATGCCACCTCTTGGGTGTACTTTGAATCGGAACACTACTAAGATATGAGTTCTTGACTGGTCAACACTCAATCTCATACAACAAGAACGATCAAACCATCACTCGGTATAACTTACTTTTAGGTTTATGTTGTATCTTTTTATCACACAAGACTTCAGAATAAAGCCTTTCATTTAATCCATGCTTTCCTAATGCAATGTGTGACATCATCATCGATATTCCCATAATCCCATTACCCTAGATTGCAGACCTGAGATACTTAAAACATTCTCTCTTGAGAAGTCTATGTGGAAAATCTTACTTTCACATCGGCTTCATGCAACACAACATTGAATTCACATTTCAAATATTTTATTTTGGTCTTGCTCAACTTGAACCCTTTGGACTCAGAGTCTATCTGCAAACCCTTAACAAAAAATTAACATCAATTAGTATTATATCGTCTCCAAATAACATACACTACAAAACCTCTTTATGAATAGAGGCATAGACCATGTCAACTCGTCAATAAGAAAAATAGATAAGAGATAAGAACTTATCCTTGCACCAAGATAAAAGAAGAATAAAGTCGTTCACATGTACACCAAGATTTATTGAAGAATTATGATACTAGATAGTTCAATTCAACAATGAACTTAAAATCTATACAAAGATAGTTACCATAAAACATTCACACGAAACTAACCTCAAATAAGGAGAACAAGAAATTTGTACACGTGAAGAAGAACTACAACACAAGACTTACATTGAAGGTTTGACAATGTATGCTTTGGGTTTAGTTCGCCCATGTGGATCGACACGACTTGAACAAATCAAAGAATTTCTTTTCTGAATAAAAAAAAAGGAGAAAAAGATAAGTATTAGTTTTAATAGGGGTGGGAACAACTACTATGTAACTGATCCAACGTTAATAATCACACCTTTTAAATTAATTTTTTATCTAGAACTCTTCAGAAAGGAAAAACAAAAATAACAACAAAATTCTAAAGATTTAGATTGAAAACACAATAAACATTTAGTTTGTGAAACTATCTCTGTTTCTTAGTGATTCAAAGAAGGATTTGGAGAAAATCATTCAGTTAGTGAATTTTCATTCCACTTCAACAATCAAAAGTACACAAATTTTGTACCAAATGTTGTTTAAATACTTTCATTGGCATCTGAGCCACGGTTTTATGCTCCATGATATTGTAGTAGAAATTATGTACTGATTGCGTGTCATATATATATATATATATATATATATATATATATATGAAGATCAGTATATATTTTATTTAAAACTATGGTGAAGTTTAATTCATAAGTTAAAAGAAAATTAAATTTGATTGTAAATCTAAGAACATACCTTCAATTCTTCAACTTGGTAATCTGACGGTGAGATGTCTTTTATATTTTGTTGGGGAAACAATCAAAGATGCTCAGTTTTTTTTGTTGTTTAGGAAAGAGAATAATTTTTTTTCTGGTGTTGTGGATGAAGGAAAATAGAGAATATTTTTTCTCTGTTATGAATGAAGCGTAAAGAGTTTTTGATCTGTTTATTTTCTTTTTGAAGTTTTAATCTAAATATAAGGTTGAAAAAAGAGAAAGAGTTTGAGTTAGATAAGGACTTAAAAAAATCATTGTTCCTATGTTAATAATTTATTTTAAAAGAATAAAGAGTTTAAGGGACAATCATACTTCTTTCATTGAAAATTTTAAAAAAAGGAAAATAAATGGTACCACACACATTTTTTTAAAATAGGAAACGTGTACATTCTTTTTGAGTTTTGGTCTTTTTCTGCATAGATCAAGAAGAAAAGGGATGGTCCCACTATTCAAATAAATAACTAAATAAATAAAAGAAAAAAGTGGATTTTTTTGTCCTTTTCTATTAAGAATTAAAAAGAAAAAGAAAAAGAAAAATAAGATGGTCAAATTTTGTTTAGTAAAATACTTATACCATTTTCTTTGGAATAATAAAGTATTTATTTTTATATAAAAATACAATGGTTTTGTAGTATCTTTTTTTGTTAACAAAGTATTTATTTTAGTATTTAGTTTAACATAGGTTTTCTCAAGTGGTCAAATAAGATTGTGGTTTTTTTTTGTTTTTTTTAAAGGCCATGAGTAATCTTCTTTATTTAATAAAGAATAGTGATCACTTGTTCGTTGACTAGATTATGATTTTAAATTAGTTTAATCCTTACTTTCCTTGAACATTTCCTAGTTTTGAACGAAAATTTGCAACATATCTGTCGCATTAAATGATATTAACCATATTTTATTTTGTTCCATTTCAGATATCGATGAACGAGAATATGCTCAAACTACTCCAAGTGGGAGTTCTCAAAGTCGAGCAAAGGGACGAGGTAGAAGAGTATGCCGCTATAAGACATGTTCTCGAGGAAATGAAATCATACAGATTGGTGTCCCAAGGGCGACACAAAATCTGTCAAGGAACCTAAGGTCCCCATTCGAAGGGAAAAAGAGAGAAAATTTAAAGAGTTTGATTCATTGAAGATATCTCCTCATGTGTCAGCACATGATTTTATTCGCCTTTTTGAAATAAAATGGGCTGAACTGTGATTATAAGGAAAGTTTAGATTGGAGAATCTTAGCTTATTTAATAGACGCTTTCTGTGAACCTTGGGGTAGTATATTGACTGATGTTTATCATGACATATGGCTCATTCAACCTTTTAGGGTTTACATTAGTCATCTTGAAGACTTGTGGGAGGATTTCAGTCTTTGAATTACTTGTAATCTCTCGTTGCTTATTTGTTTTTTTTTCAAGATATGAATTATGTAGATTGTACTAATCTCAAATTATGTTATTAAACTGAAAAATCCTTGTTATCGAAGTCTACAATATATTAGTTATACACATTACGAAATTAGATTTGACTTTTGATTAAATATTTAA